TGCGTGTGTGTGTGTGTGTGTGTGTGTGTGTGTGTGTGTGTGTGTATGTGTGTGTGTGTGTTTATGTATTTGTCCCTCCTAGATTTGTATACTTATATAGTGCTCAATGCATTAAAAGCAGTAGTGATTTTGTGATAGTATGGAGAATAATCGCTTGGTATAACAGCAACAAGCGGAGCGCTGGCGATGGCAGGGCACAGTGACACTTGCAAGGGAACAAAGTGGGGTTGACAAAGTATGATGTCCACCTGATTTTATGTGCTGCTGTTGTCTTAAGAAGGGACATCTATACTTTTGTGTTCAATTCAGGAACAAATTGCAGCATTCACGACCACCGGTATATGCTGGATTAGTCATCCCGCAGACAATCGTGTCTTTGTAACCTGAATGATTCTGCGGTGCTCCCAATGTCAACAGTCTGAGTCATAGTGCTGAGAAGGACGAGCATGATGACTCATTGCCGTTTTCTTGCATTCATTACGTTCGGCACCGTCTACTTTCTTCGACGATTTACAAACAAATCTCAGCTATCGTGGAACGCAATGAAGTCGAATTATTTTGCAGTAAGGATGGTCGAAGTTCAGAGCAGCAATCTAAGACTTTTTCGTTTTGGATCAGGCAGACATGTGATGTATCCGAAGGCATTATATGCTGCACCTACCACTTTCTCCAGGAAGAAACATTATCATATTTCATCCAGTTATTCACTACCAACACTTTATTGTCATACTTCCTATTGCCGATTTATGCATTTATTCTATCCTTTTATAACATATTTGCTTATTGCTTTATGCTTTGTTACTACTGGTACATCACTTTATTCACCCGTTATCATCGGAAATAAAAATTTTCAAGAATACAAGGGTCAGCAATATATTGAGAAGAAAGCTGGTGAAACATTGGAATTGAACTGCTCAACAACGGAAGCCGTTAAGTGGATATTGCCTGATAACACTCTCCATATTGGCTTCAATCCTGAGGAGGTTCGTTTTTTATTTGCACAGAAAAAACAACACTCATTCTGCTTTTTGCAAATGTTGAATCGCTTCCATTACGATAAACTTCAATTCATCAATAAGCCATGATATTTCACCATAATAGCATCTCTCGGGATCCTTCCAGTCATTGAGACAATAATTACGATTCGTAGTTGCTGATTCCATGAATTCCCCACATTATTTATCAGTAATGTAGAAAAGAACTTTTATGCGTATTAAATGGTATTATGATTGCGATTAGTAGTTCAAGATGCAGAACTGGGCTATAAAAGTTAAGCGAAGAACACAGGTATATTACGTTAGTGTGGAAATCACGAGACTTGAAACAAATTAATGATGCGCATTGCACCTGATATGGAAAATTAGGAAAGATATCTGTCAATCCTCAACAAATAATGCGTATTCCTAAGACAAACGTACAAGCGTTAGTTGTAATAGGATTATATAGTACATATATTTCATGTTATGCATTTTTTAACGAAATCTGCCATAACTTTAATAATTAAATTTAATAATAAGACCAGCATTAAAAAATTTGAACAGAACTAGATGAATTGTTTTTATGAGTTAACTGCAGATTATGTAGTAGCATCATCTATTATCTCCAAGTTATTTACCATAGATAAATGTGCATTTTGCTTTCCATCAAACTCGTGAAAAATTATGAAAAAGAGTTTAGAATGATATGTACTGTGGAATGATATAAGTTTTTAAAAAGATGTAAAATGATATAAGTTTTTAGGCTCAACATTTTACACTGCAAAATTGAACTGATGATCTAGAACTATTTCATTTGTAGCGAACAGGTAGAGTCATAGAAAACGGTTTTGATATCGGATTTCGGAATTTACGGATAGAGCCGCTGAAAAGGTCAGATACGGGTGAATACGTTTGTGCCACAGAGCATTCCGGATTCAGTTCTTCCATATATGTGTATGTATCCAACAACGAAAGTCAGTATCTTTTCAGTTAGCAGTCTTTTGGATATAGATGAAGGAAATAAAATTCACGGGATTTACCTGTTCTTTTGAAATAATTATTTATACCAAATATGATAAAATATGATAAATTCACATCAAATTGAATTATGTTATTACAGCCAGTGGTTATAAATGAAATATGTTCATCGCATGAATTATATTTAAAATTATAACAAAAGTTTATTAATAAGATATCATTCAGATGAAAAATCAGTTAGAACGGGGCCGTTCCTGAATTCTGGGCCTCTAATTATTTCCAAAGCATTGGGAGGACTTAATGTGGTCCTGCCATGCAGAACAGATGAATTCGTTGAAAGCGGTGTGGAATTGTTCATTAATCAGATAAAGCAGACCAGAGGAATTCAGTTTGATCCAAGGTACATCCGTTCTAAAACATGAACTGTGAAAGATTTAGTGAATTGCTTATTTTTAACTGCATTTCTGTTTTTTCCTAATTATAACGAATTACCAAGATAAGGTTTATTGCATATAACTGTGTTGGGCATGATACAATGCAGTATGATATTTTTTCAGGTTTGGATTCATTGTGGATCGACGGCTTCTCAATGATCGCACGGAGATACTAGCTCGTTGCAAATATTTGGACCATACTTTAGATATGGTAATAGTACCGATAGAAAATGATGAAGAGATGGAAGACTCGCCATTAATTGAGGTGTCGAATGGCTGGCCTTACGTCAAACAGGAATTGGATATGAGCTGCACATTTTATACAAAAGATGGATTTAGATATATGCTGACCTGGAAATGTCCTCATTGTGAAGACGGGACGGTATGCTGTTCTTACAGATCGTTGATATCTGCTGCAGTTTATAGATTGATCAAATTTTTTGAAAGTGACAATCTTTTTCCGGATCTAGAAATACATTGGGATCATTAAAAACAAAATGACCATTTCTACTCCCATACATGTGAATGTCGTATATGATATTTCCTACCTGAGGCAGTGATACTTTATTCTGCACCGAGTATACACATGTTTCATTAATCGAAAGTTCTAAATTACAAGAGTTTAAAGAATTTATGGTCTTTACGGATGCTTGCTTATTTCTTTTTGCATGAAATATATGGAAGCATTAGCACTTTTTGTATAAATAATGTAGTAGAATTTAAGTATTTGGTTTACTTCTTACAGTTACCAGGAGTACTATCATTGGAAGTGGAAGGGAGGAAAAGCAATAGTTTATTGCTAAAAGTCTGTTCATACTACATTGTTGCATTCTTTTTTTCATTGAACTTTCGTGATGTTGCGATGAAAAGAAAAGGCAAAGATTTGGGATTCCATTTCCTAATTTTCTTATGAAATTCAATTCACTGCTATAACAGTTAACTAAAGTTATCATTGTGGTCCTTTAAAAAAGCACGATATTTTTAGGGTCATGTCGTTTCAAATCGTTATATTAAAATTGGAGATGGTATCAAGAAACTGTTGTCTGTTAGAAATTTACGTGAGACCGATTCTGGTGACTATGAATGTATAGTGACAAATAAAGATGATATTCATGATGTTCGACGTAGTGTGCATCGGTTACAAGTGTCGCCCACAAAAGGACAGCTGAAAGTGGTGGATTTTTCGAAAAATATCAATTTCGAAGAGGGTAACACTATAAGATTGTTCCATATAGCACGAGCATTTCCAAGTGATGAATATAGTTCTGAATGGAGAAAGGTTTGTTGTTTTCCACATTTTTTTTAGCAAAATATCTTCCCTTAGTCGCTTTTCTGTCAATTTACTGCATCATTTTCAGTTTTTTGATCAGACTTTTGACTTTTTTCTCCTGATTTTATGATGATCTTTTTCTGTTTACTTTCGGTCTGTTTTATGTTTTGTTTTTCAAAATATCTTCAACAAACTCAGTCTTTCTCTTTTAAGTCAGTTTAGTCACTAGGACTCTCCGTCATTCAGGGTTACACGCTTTTTAGTGATGAAATAGCTTCACATGAAATATAACCACACTTCAATTTTTTATAAGAGCTCATACTATATCTCGAGAAATCATTCCGTTCATTTCACCGAGAAGTTCGAACTGCTTGGTTTCAGTCGTTTTGTTTCAACTTCTTGAAGCAGTAGTTGGGTGGTGCCCTAGTTTTAACTGTATTTTGGCTTTCTGGTTTGGGAAATTTGCGAGAATTCCCTAATCCAAATTTTGTTTTTCTCTGCTCTGAGGATGATAGTTTTTAGTATTCGAAAACGATATTATCCGGCGGAGAATTCATGGAGAAAATCGAAAAAGGCATAAGAAGTAAAGTGAATGGAGATCTTCACGAGGACGAACTGTCAATCATTAATGCTACCGTTGATAATTCTGCAATGTTTGCCTTTTCGATAATTTCATACTAAAACTGAAGAGTAAAACTCACTGCGATATTCGGACCTTATAGTTTTTTAGATTTCAAAACTGTGTTTCGTGGAGGTTTCATTAATTCTCACGTTTTTGTTTCCATAAATTTTCACTGCTGGCAAATGCCTTAAGAATAATCCTAATGATACGAGCCAATTTAATATTTATCTCCAGTAAATTGTTTCATCCCATTAACTTCGTTTTGATCTTCAGTAACTAGGGACGAGATTCTGATAAGCTTAAGTGTTTCATGTACATTTCATTATAGAAACGCGTTTTAAAAGTAATTGTTTCATGGGTATAAATGAATAGAAACTCAAACAAAGTATATGGCAATGAGTGTTGCTTATTCTAACAATGTTTAGATTAGAAAGTATGTTGCAGCTATCAGTTATTGATAAGAGTGTCGCAGGACTATGTTTATCGGAGAAATTGGACATTATCTGTTCGTCCCATCGATATCCAACCACACATTGCTATTCACAATCGATTCGGGCGTCTTTTATCATCTGATGTGCTAATCGATTCGAAAATAATTGTTACATGTTTGGTAAAAGATACGAAACCTCACAAGTTACGTCTGTTGTATACAACGTGGGTTTTGGAATATTCATATGATTTTTTTTTTTTCACAATCTTTTGCTAGTTCAGGTTTTTTGAATGCATGGGTAACTTTCCTGCCTTTAAATTCAGAAAAAGTGGAGAGTGGGAACAACCTGATGATAGTGAAGAATTGTCTGGTTTCACTTTTGAATCCGTTGTAAAGTGGATAACATATGCGAAGGGACATATGCGAATACGTTGTGAAGATGATGTAACCAACAAGGTATCTTTCGTTATTTTATGATCTTAATTAGTATGATTTTCCTGAGAGTAAACAAAGGTGGTGTGAGGTTCAAGAAGCAAAAAAGAGGCAAAGAGAAAAAGAGATTATAAAGCAGTTCGTACACCTTTTATTCATTTTGATTTTCATATTTCCCCTAGCTTGAAAATCTTTTGGAATATGTAATTCATTTATACAAGAATTATTCGTTTGTATACTGATTCACTCTCTAAGTTTAATTTTTCAATTTCTATTTTTTCTCTCTGCATCTTTGATCTCTTTCACGAAGTCCGATTCATCATACTACGAGACGGACCATGCAACTGCTTCGTAATGTCGAAGTATGTTGGCATATTCTTTGATATTTTTATCCACTATATGGAAAGAAAAAGTCCAGAGGTTATGTACACAAGTATTATTTGCTTTGCTTAAAGCGACGCTACTTTGATATGCTCCAAAGATTTTGCAAAATTTTATTGACTGAATCCATTTTTGATTATTTTTCCTGAGCTCATTCTTAAAATGAGCTGATTTAGATGGATGAAAAGGATTTGGTCATATCAGAAGTGGAAACAATTAACGCATCTTTTATTGCCAAAAAGCCCGTTGATTTGCTCAATGAAGACAGTAGTATCTATGAAAAAGACCGCCTCGAGCTAATTTGCATACTGCCACTGAACTATGATTTGTTGGTATTTTGATTTCTGTCGATGGAAAGCTAGGGGATATACCATACAAATTTTTAATATATCAGTTTGTTTCTACCCGGTGGGAAAGTGATCTTATGGACCAGTGAGATCGATATTTTCTCAGTATACTTTGTTCTTTTCTAGTCTTCGACTCTCCCATTAGAGTTCGTTTTCATCGTAGTATATTGAGTTGTGTTTAACTCAAAAAAAGTTTATTTACATCTTCCTTAGATAGTATGTTTAAAAATCACAGCTCTAAAACTTTCGAAGAGGATTTTTATCAAAACTATTAAACTTACTGTATTTCGGTGATGTTGTTTGGATGCGAGATGATGTTCAGTTACCACATCCTGAACGGTATATCACCGTATATTCTCAGAAATTCATAACAACACTGGATGACATTAGTTCGAACGAGTCTGGAGATTACCAGTGTATTGCCAAATCGAAAGATGGCCTCATTTCTCGAAGTTATACGTTACATATCGAAGTAAGCCATGACGGAACCATTAGATAACCCAAGTTTTTATGCTCAACTTTTTCCACCACTTAATTTACTTTTAACATCTCGAGCGGAAATCTTCGATTCATTTCCACAGATTTTGTCAAAATGTGGGATTATCAACCATAAACTGGGTTTTCTTTACGGCAGATAGAGCCAGACAGTACCATACTTTGAATAGTTCATTACGCTTTAAATTGAATCATTTTCGAAAGAATTCCGAAAAATTTTGGTGCTAACTTTTGTGGAAGTCGTGCCGAAATATCAACAGCGAAGGCATCTTTTAGATCTGAAAAAATCAAACGGTTTGATCTCATTCAACTTCCGAAATTCGTATGTAGTGACCTCACTTTTACCCAACTTTTATCATTAACTTTTCACAGGCAAAAGGAAATTGAAGACAGTTTGATTTCTAGGTAAACGCAGTAGTCGCTCCTCACATTGTTGAAGCAGAAGAAGAATATGAACATTTGGCGAAATACGGGGAAAGGACAGAACTTGCATGTCCTATTGAGGGAGAGCCAGAACCACTTTATAAATGGTTTAAAAATGGTATTGAATACAGTGGCTATGGCAGTTTGACAAAGAAAATTGATTTCCCTCGAGTTATTGTTGAAGATAAAGCGACTTACACATGCGTTGCAAAAAATCGTGCTGGTTCACAACAAGTTTCTATTCGACTTATGGCAAGTTCAATGAAAATATGCTGAAATTCTGCACTAAAATCCAGTCAAATTTGTTGCGAAAAACGCTGAGTGATAAGTATAACTGAAAATTATTACAGTTAACCAATGAGCCAACGTATATTCGGTCATCAAAATATTGGTGGACTCTTGGTTTTGCAACAGTTAGTGTATTTGTCTTACTCCTTCTGGCACTTGTTTTTCTGTTGAAACAGCGTCGCAAAGGTAAGCGACAAGAGGAACAACTGCGTGCACTTTACAATCAGCTGATGAGCGAGTCGAATGGAGAATATCGCGGTGGATCGATTGATCTGAAGCAGCCATTACATGAACGCGTCGAACAGTTACCTTATGACCGCAGATATGAAATTAGCAGGGACAAGCTTTTTTTTAAGCAGGTTTTTATATCTTTAGTTTTGCTTGGTTTAACATAAGTTGCGCTGCTGAAAATCTGGTGCAATAAATTTTAGGAAGTTATGTAAAGTATTAAGATTTAATTGCACTAACACACAGTGAGGTAGATTCTATCATTGTATGTCATTTGAGGACTGTGACAGGCTTTTGATACACATTTTCTGGACCAATGATCTCCACCTTTGCTATTCAGGAGAAACCTTAATTTACTATTAAATTCGTCTGATCAGCACACGCTATGCACAGTTGCATATCGTAGTAGAATTTAACTTCTTTTCTGGGTCACGAAAATTATTAACTCCAGTTTTGCGTACGATAATGACTACCACACAATTTTAGTCACTTGGTGGAGGACATTTCGGACAAGTCTACTTGGGTGTACTCCACAAATCTCGGGTGAGCGACTCGTTAGCTGTGTCAGATGTGCTAAAAGTGGCTATCAAAGCTCCACGTGATGGACGTAATTTACATCATCAAAAGGCTCTTGCTGATGAGCTGAAAATAATGATCGCTATTGGTATTCATCCAAATGTTCTGTGTTTGATCGGCGCCGTGACGAAACAAATGTCCAGGTAGTATCAAATATTTTCGAACCGACAACCTCTTTTATAATACTTTTCTTTCCATATGTCAGCAAAAGGATGTAACTGGATAATAAGCTAAAAGTAGCATATTACAGTGGACAGCTCTATGTGATAATGGAATATTGTGAGAATGACAACTTGAAAGAGTATTTGTCGAAAAATAGTGCAGGTTTTCTGAATGAAGTTGAATTATGTAGAGAACCACTGAGCAGCGATGGATACTTGACGCCAACACGGAACGCGCAACATGAAGCCCAAATATACTTGGTTTCTCTGTTTTCATTAAAAATTCTTTTCCATAAAAGTGTTCAGGGAATAATCAGTTATTTACCAATTTAGATAAAACTAGCAGTAGGATATAGAAACATTTATAATGCTTTGTTTGTAACGTCTACAATTTGTTTGGTCTTATCGGTACATCTTATTGCAAATTTATTTACGTGAGTACATGTTATAGGCGGAACTGAAGCCTCAGTGGGCCATTGAAGTAGATGAGGCGCGGATGGCTGATAAAATGATCACCACAAGTGATTTGATCTCATTTGGATACCAAGTTGCCAACGGGATGGAGTACCTATCCAGTAAAACGGTACCTCTGATCATTTTGTTAAAAAGCTTATCTATGCACTGACCCACGATAAACGGCAACGTTCTAGTGTATTCATCGAGATATTGCTGCCCGAAATATCTTGGTTACAAAGAAACGAGCCATACGCATAGCAGATTTTGGTTTAGCACGTAAGGACTCTACAGTTTATCATATACGAAGCAGTCAAAATGTACCGCTGCCTCTTAAATGGATGGCATTAGAATCAATTTTATACCATAATTTCACTGAACAGGTAAATGTATTCTCCATGCTTTTCTAATACAGTAATAGCGATATTAGATCATACCAAGCAACTTTCTTATTCGTATTGGTGCGTAACAGTTTTTAGTCTGATGTTTGGTCCTATGGTGTGCTATTATGGGAAATATTTTCTCTTGGTAAAATACCATACCCACAAGTAGACAATGATGATCTTGTGAGCTATTTGCAAGAAGGAAATCGTATGGAACAACCCAAATTTGCTCCAGATGACATGTTGGTTTCCAGGATTATTATAGTTGCAATTTTGATAATGACATTTTGCTTATTTGCTGACGGTCGCTTTTTTCCATTTTATCGCTCGCAAACCCTTCAATACTTAGAGCTTTTGTGTGACTAGATATCTACGAGCGCCGAAAAGGTTATGAAAGTACTTTACCTGCAGATACAACCTGATGAGACAGTGTTGGCTTTCGGATCCTAGTGACCGACCCATGTTCTCCGAATGTAAAATTTTAATGAAAACACATCTTTCACGTGCTTCTTCACCGGTAATTTCTTAAAGTATTTCAATCTGTTTCAGATTAGTTACACTTGAGACAGTTGAGACATATCCTTCACTGATCATCCTCAGCTATCTGAGTGTATTGTTTTTCGTATTACTGTCGACGCCAATGATGGCTTTAGAACTGTAAAATGATCTGAATCTAATTTAGTAAATTGCAGTTGAGCAGACGGCTAGACAAAGTGTTGGAAGAAGACCAAATTTTGATGGAGCGGTACAGCGAATGGCGTGATTCAGAGGAGATTGAACAAGATCTTAGGGGGCAAGCTACTCGAAATGGGTTTATTGCTGTTCCGACGCAAGAACCGCAGGCGAATTCCAATATATACATGTAGTTCAAGCACTGAACTGATTGATGAATTGGAAAGATTTTAAGCAATAAAACAGACAATTTTATTCAGCAAAAGGTACAAGGTGTCTTCAAAAATTGTGGGAGGCCGGCAGTACTGGAACCAATTTTTCTCTGTAGATAATGTAGATGAGAAGTCGCCTTTACTTTTATTTAAACGGTTTACATTATATGCATTTGCTTACGCGGTATTCGGACAGCAGCTGAATAGAAAAGATAAAGTATAAAACTTGAACAAAAGGAAACAGTTCTCAGCTATGGCAACGATGATATGGAGTGGCTGAAAGAGGAAAAAAGGAAATTGGTATAAAAAAGAATCGTAATGGGTAGAAAGTGATTGCGGGTTCATTGTTTCGGATCAATCACTGCAGGAGCAGGGGACGAGAAGTTACGAGTTCACCGGTAGTAGCGCGACATCGACCAGCATTTTACTGGACACAAGAAGGTTGACGAAACAGCCGGACAGCTCAATGAGATGTCGGAATCAATACAACCAATAGCTCAATGAGATGTCGGAATCAATACAACCAATAGCTTATTAAGACAAGCAATGAACTGACCAAATGAGGTTGGGAAGTTTAATGATGGAATCAACCAGTTATGACTACAATAAGAGCTAGATCCCTTATGCTTTTCTGTCAATAAAATCTCCACATATCAAGTGGCTTGATCTTTCTCAGCGTGAAGTCTGTAGGTTCCGCGGGATAGCTATCTGTATCTTGACTATATCACGAAAAAGATTTGTATAAAATTTTTTTCTTTGCTAACACTTGACGTTGCGTAATTAGTTTAAAGTGAGTTAATTCAAGAGATAGAATTTTCAGCTCGCAAATTCGTAAATTTAGAAGTGTCCAGTGACGATGTGGTGGTACTGTTGCATATATGTTTATGTTATGTAGACCAGATGTCTTGTATATTTCTAGCGCATTCATTTATCACATTGCATTATAATTATTCCACCTAAGTTCGAACGCACTGCACATGAAAAGCTAATGCTAATCGTTCAAGATGAATGCACTTTAAACATATATATGACCTCAATCTGCAAATTAAATCTTTTCTGGAGTATTTACAGAACGCCCGTCCCTACTGTTTCACTCAACTTCATTTGCATTATTCGCTTGTTAAAACATGTGTCCTGAAGTTCTTTTCCTGATGATTAACTTGGTGTTATGTGGTTTCGTTAAAATTTAAATCCGGACTTCGTTTGTCTGGACTAATAGTGTAAGATTTATGACATAGAGAAGGTAAAATTTACTACTGCTGTGATCAGGATAGTTGCAGATGTTTATAAAACATAAGGGTGATGGAACATTGTCCTAAATTTTGTGAGGATGGAAGAGATCTGTGTATAAGTTATGAGTCATCTTGAAAACTCAGTAACCACAGGGGACGAGTGGGTGATCATCACGATAAGATCTGGCTGATGCGATTTTAATCATTAATTTTAGCTTAGATCAGCGTCACTTTCTGCATTAGGATTTTACTCATATTGCATTGAACACGGAAGATTAATTTACAACCAAAGGTTGTTGATTAAAACAAGAAGGAAAAAGGTTCACTTGGTTTCATCATATATGGATAAGTTCCCGTTCGTTAGTAGGGAAGTATCGCAACTAGTCGGAAATAGCTTAAGCATGTTATAGGATCAATGGTACACTTGAATCAGGGTCACAACAAATATGCCATTCATCTGACATGCACTGGAATTCTTAAGCAAGTGCCATCAAATGAACTATTGCTTACGAAATTCTGCGTTGTCTGTTCTCTGCGGAGAAACGCACTTATCCATTGATCAAAGTACGTTTGTTATGCGGCCAAGTGCCAGCAGACTTTATCCTCAGCGTAGAAAGACTAGCAATAAAATAGTAAGACCAAAAATCCAATGATTCGATGCCAAGACTGGAAATAATGTGTTTAAAGAAGTTTAGAAATGCAAATTGTAATAGTTTCTAGGCAGTAATGGTTATAGGTAACGCTCAGCATGCCGACAAATGGATTGGAAAGTAAGAAACGATCCAGTTGGGTGATATGCATGTTGTATAACGGGACACAAGCTGTCGGAAAAGCTAATCTGTTGGATTCATTTCTTACATTTTTCAGCGATACATTTGTTCGGGATATAATATTCTTCTTGCACAATATTATTAATTAACAACAAGACGGGTATAAAATAGATATGTATACATTACGCGGTGAATTGGTAAGCGATGATGAGTTATACAATAAGAAAGTAATATGATCAACTAACAAATCCCTTGTCGTTGCCTTCAACAATAATTTGACTGTCCGTTAGATGATAGGTGGTTGAGTTGGGGATGTGCTGCGGGAAACATACTTAGCGAATAGAAAGCATATCGTAGTTTGCTGTCTAATGGTGACAGATATGCGAAGATGTCGTTGTTTATGGTTCAGTCGTAGAGGATAAACGAAGAGGATGTATTTATTTGCTCGTTCATATATGCTGAACTGGATTTTTCCCTATATATATGTATAAGGATTAGGGAAGGAGTTTTGTAAGCTCCATCGTTATCATGGAGGTATGGCTGCCCTTCAGCATTGTCTATTGTGTAGGTACTGGGACATCTTTGTGTTATGTAGTCCATTGTTAGCTTATATTTCCTTCATTACTTTAATTTTACTTGCAAGATTTTATCACCCTGTCTGTTAGATATTGTGGAAATTTTGTTTGAGCATAGCTTTAATTTCAGTAATCCGACACAATCAGGCCTCAAGAAATGACTCTGATATGTTGTCTTCGGCTCATAATCAGATATCAGTGAAGTCGTTAGATGGAAAATTGGGAAAATGTTAACGACTAGATATAACTATGATTTGAAACCTAAAAACACAAGGAATATAATGGAACAGCATAGCGATAAAGCAAATCTATCGCCCACTACTGCAACAGCGCTCGTGATCCGATGACACCAATACTAAGTACTTCCTTGAGTTTGTAGCATTTGCTTCCACCCATAAGGAAGGATGTGTTTCTATTCCAGACCAGTTGAACACCTGATCTCTTTATTTTAAAGAAAAAAACATAGTTCCAGGGCAACTAATACAGATTACTAATCTGTGACTATTCGATACGAAATTGCAACAAAACAATTTTGTCCCGTGTACTTTTCATTATCTAACAAAAACTATAGGGAAAAAGTAAGTATCGCTGAAATATTACCTAGATCCTCAGCCCAAGCTACGTTCCACAACACACTAGTATTTAAAAGTATTTTGAGGTAACTTTCCCACAACGTCGCGTTGTTATGGACATTTGAGTCCTGCAGTGAATCCTTGTCTTTTGTAAGACCATTATCATTGTTTTAACGGTGCCGTTTCGGGGTTGGATGTGTTCCGGTGGTGCTACGAGGGAGGTAGTGTTGAGGGGAATTAGGTTTCAGGTTATTTGAAATGACAGAAATGGGTAGGAGGGAAATTGGGGAACCAATTTTTTATGGTCGTTATTTTTTTTGTCACTTTTACATTTTTTTCTAATTTGTGGAGAGGATACTGTAGAATAACTGGTGTACTTCCTGTGTTTTGTCTTGCGGTTTTTGTTTTCGTGGTAGTTTCTATTTTAAAATGCTTTCATAAAAGCAAAGGACCAAAAGTATGTGGAGGAGGAAGAAAATTATAGAAAAACTGGAAGTACAGTTGAAAGAAATGATTTCATGGCTCCAGTTGGATGCGGAAGTCTTATATGGGCTTCTAGGCGGTCTTTGCGACCATGTCATTTATCTCTTAGAAACCAATTAAATTAGGATAAATGCTGGAACCGACGCAACTACATGTAACGCTTAATATGGGCAGAAATTCTATTAGGTAATACAGGTATTCTCAGAGATACGGTGCAACTAAATCACATCGCTTAATCCGTGGATTGATTACGAAATCAGCACAGGAAAACTGCTTTTTGGTTTTCAGTATACTGTGGGCATTGTTTTCATTAATCGTAACAGGAATAATATAATCCTGGTTCCTGTTAGGTCTCTCTGATGTGCTTTTCTCTGTTTTATCAAATTGGGTGCTTTTTCTGACCTACCTTAAGTTTTATTTTCTTTGCCCTAAAATTGGTAGAGCTCTGTGTGTCCATCTTTATATTTGATACTGCTGGCACATTTATTAGTCGAAACAGAGTGGTTTGGAAATGGAAGAAAGCACGATATTTTGCTCCATATGTTTAGGGGTAAGTTTTCTTATTTCATTCACTGGAATAGGTTATATTTCCATCGATGCTATATATTAAACCATATTGCAAATGGTTTTCACTGTTGTCAAGATATAGCATCTAAAGTTTTTTTTTTATTTCAGGTGTTTAAACATCATTTTAGCCTGGGAGCTGGCCCAAAGCACGACCCAAGATATGCAAACATACCTTCTGTTACCTGTGCATCAGTACATGGGTAGAGGTCTGCTTTATTGACTTGATATTTTGAATTACCTTTAATAGTTTGGCTAATGGATCCAAAACTTTAGAGAGTTGTATTTTGAGGTTACATTTGAATCGTTTTTGGAGCTTACGTTTTTTGAGTTTGTGGGTAACAGTATTTACATTTCCACAGTCAGTGAATGTGTTTTCTAGAGACGATCGGAATGTCCGCTGTGTAAGAGACTGGCCAAAACACTGGTGGTTATAAGACAGGATGGTACAGAATATAAGACATCTGTGAAAGAAAAAACATCTATTCAATATCAAAGAGAGGTAATTTATGTTGTCTTAGCAGTACAGTTTTCGTTCATTCTGGGTTTTATATTGACTGCAAAAAAGGAATCTTTAATGTGTACTTCATCATCATGCAGTTTCCAGATTGATGAAGAAAACAATCTGTTTCAAGAAACGGAAGACATAACAGTGGTATATGCTAGGTGTCAAGTGTGTAACTTATCGAAAAACGAACATTTATTATTGCTTTGCGACGGAGTTATTGGGCAAAATGTAGATGGAAGCTCAATTCATTGTAATGCTGCGTGCGCTTTTTTTTTCATCAGCTTTGTATTACTTCTTTCAAGTTTACTAGTGCAAAGAATTTATCATGCTAGTATATCAAAAATGAAAGGAAATTATTGGCTACAAAGAAGGAATCTTCAGCAAAAATTTTTTCATCTACGAAATTTACTGTTACAGATGCCACTGTTACTGCTTGCCGGAAAAACTTGACAGTGTACCAGATGGAGACTGGTTTTGCCCTTTCTGTGCTGACGTAAGAGTAAGTTTGAAGAGAATTTCCCTCATTTGTATACTTCTGCACCAATTATTAATATATCTTGTGTATCATCATGGTCATAATATTCTCTCGATAGGCCACCCAGGAATCAGTTCACAGCAGTCGGTGTGCACGGCGAAGACATCGATCATCATTAAATTACCAGCAGTTCATGGATTCCAGAGAATCTGGGATCTTGAATGAGGACCGGCCAGGTAAGGAGTTGGATTAATAAATAGTTTAATACGTTAGGAAAGGAAATGGTTCTTCCTAAAAAATGAGCGGGAAATAGTGACGACTGTTTCGTCACTAAATAAAAAGTATGTAGACATGTATAATAGTTATTATGTATGCTTGTTTATGTTATTACCTTTGAAAAACCACGTATATCAATGTTATTATTCCATCAGTCGTTTATAGGACCGAGTGGAGTAAATCAGAGTTTTCGGTCAAAATATGTGGATGTTTTTTATGGCAATGAATTTTTAACCCAGTCGGCTTCAAACAGTGTTAAGAACGGTTCGAACGAACATGGGATGGAAAGCGATTTGGATTCTTCGCTTAATGTTGATTCCTCCAAAGGTATGGCGATTTCATTCATCTCCAACAAATATAGTAGTGATATGCAATATTGCGGAAATGTTCTTCCATGTGCATTTTAATTTAGATAGAATTTAGGAGGAAAGGACATACTGTGTTACGCTGGAGTGAACGTTTAGTGAACATATCGGATTTAGGTTAGCTTAGTAAGGTTCAGTAGAAAGCGTTAAGTAATTGTTGTCAAGAATAGTTCTGGGCAGAGTTTCAGGTGTTTAACCACTTTAGGTTTTTATTTTGAAGGCGAATCTCTCCCCTCTTCGAAGTCTAATTCAGGCAAGTACATGTTTTAAAGTAACACGCTGGACAGTTAGCCATTATAATTAGTAGGGCGTCAGGTTCTGGCAAAAAGCTCGGTTTTTAATCTAATGTAGTACAGACAGCTGCACTCATTTCACGTTAATCGGAGATGCTGTCTCCGGAGATCTGATTTCTACTTTTTTCTATATATATAATTTATTGTAATCCAAGTAATACATCTGTTAGCTGAAAGCTTTTGTCTTCCCAAGTTTCCGGAAGCAGTATAAAGAAGGAGGGGAGAGATAAAAATCCTCCAAGGCTAGCATGATTTTAAATGTATACTAATCAAATGTCAGTTACATATTGATAATTGCAGACGATGGTGCTGATTGGGACAATCAAGACGATATGGTTTTGGCAACAGATTCAGATGCGGGTTATGATCCTGGGGGAGTAACCAAATCGCTATGGTGGAAATGGCACGAGCATCGAAGAAAGGTGAAAAAGTCAAAAAAAGGGAAAAAAAGAAAAGGCATACGAAAAAAAAATGTAAAACGTCGTGGTCGAAATGGAAGTGCTTCTGAGAAAAGTAGGAAAAAAAGCAAGTGGAGGAAAAACATTCGGAAAACAAAGGTAGTTAATTAATGCTGCAGTTTTGCTCTTCTCTAATTATTGTCGATAATTCTGTATTAAAGAAAATGTCATGAGACAAGGATTCATCTTTTTTTTTTTAACAATTCATCAGGTGAAGGATTCGGTTCGGTTCACTGAATATCATGTAACTATGCCAGTTGGGTGTTGGGTATTTTAATGAGGGCGGTTCAAAATTAATAGCGTATATCAGTCATGCCTTATTTTATAGGATATGACTGGGACCCAGAGACGTCTAGCTAAAGCTATAGGTTTGGATCTTTTGACTGGTCGACGGAAAAAACGGGAAAGAAATGAGCGGTACGTTGAACTGTTTCACTTTCGGTTATGTAGAGCAAATGTTCGGAAATGAAGTGAAATGAAAACTTCGTGTCTAGTTATAATATTTCTGCTCTTGATGCAGATAAGGTACATCAGACTGTTATCTTTTAAACCTTCATGCATTCAGAATCTTCATTCCTTCAAGATCTGCATTTTCAGGCATTTCTCGTCAAAGTACATTCGTCAGCGATTGTTGAACACACCCATACTATCCATCAGAAGCGGCGATGACTTAGATGTACCGGTTGAAACATTGTATGTTTCAGGATGACTTTGCATTTTTTTCACACTTTAACATGACAGCATATTTGTATCTGTTTTTACTTTTTCTGTATAGGGCGGTTTACTGTGTTTTTTTTCAGGAGTTTGCAGTCGGCAGAGCATCTTAGCGATAAAATATCCAATGAGAAGCTAATGTAAATTTATTTTTACAAATCTTTTTTAGTGTATCAATTTTTAATTAACACTTCCAACAAATTTTATACAAAAATAATGTTTAAGGGAAGAAACAGATTTAATTA